ACAGTGCAGATGAATGTTCAAGCATGTCTGCATGCTTTAATGGAGTCCAACGTGGCAGCCTTTTTGTCCTCGACCGCCGCCTCCCCGCCACCTCGTTTCAGGGTCCTGCAAGTGACCCGCTTCTCGAAGCTGTGCAAACAGAGCAACTTGTGTGGGACTGCAAGGCAGAAAAAAGAAGGCTGTGCCACAGTGCAGATGAATGTTCAAGCATGCATATGTACACTTTCGCACATACACATAGCCATCGGCCTCGCCATTGCAGGCGAAGAAGATCTTCGTTCCACAGACGGAAGTAGTAAGTGGCACCACCGGCTCGCAGCGAGCTGGGCACGCAAAGGTCACTTTGCCCAGTCGAGGCCTGCAGCACCTGTCGGAGACGTACTCGAAACAGGTTGGCTGAGTAGGGCCAGAGCTTCTCGCCAGGTGCCATAACCTTTAGGCACTTCTGCAGGAACTGTACAGCACACGGCTCCTCGAGCCGCACACTCTGGCGCCGAGCGCCTCTGGTTCGTGTTTTCACCAGCTCCAGTCGCAGGAAGACTACTTGTTCGCAGCCGCTGTCCACTGCGAGTATGCAGTCCTCGACTCGCAGGCCCAACATCTCGCAAGGCCTCAACATACCGAAGTAGCCGAGCAAGATCATTAAAGCGAATCGCATCCACTGCCATGCTAAAGCTGTCGTGACCATTGCCTTGAGAAGTGGCGCCGGCACGGGCGGATGCACTTTTCCAGGATTCAAAAGCTCCCACGTCGTCAGCAATCCCCAGGGCCCGGCCATGAAGTTTTTGAGGAACGGGTGCCTCTGGTTCATGACATTCACGGTCTCCGCGAAGTTGCGTCGAGTCTCGCCTTGTTCGTACAAGACCCGTCTGTATTCTTCCACGTGCAGTGAGAACTGTATTGGGTCCTTCCTGGCCAGCATCTCGTAGGGCATCTCCGACACCCCTTCTGCCTGCCACCACTGCGCAAACTTCTCCAGCAGATGGCTCCTTACCTGCGCGGTGGCAGGTGTCACCCGACCTCGATCTAAGTCCGCTCTGTCCCGCGGCTTCGTCGAGGGTCGAGGCCCAAGCACGCACGGAAGAGTAACCACCCATAGCAGTAAAACGAGCCGCCTGTGCGAGAAGCAGCCAGCGACCCCACGACCGTGGAGTATCAGAAGCTCCATCCACCGTGTCTTGGGCAGAGACAAGGTCTCCTCGTCTTGCACACAAAAGCCAGCTAGGCAGTGCGCATCTCGGCACACGCACTCGCCGGGAACGAGACGGATCGTCGGCCCGCAACGCCCATGTGCGACTATGAATGCCTACAGGGAAGATAGTCTTGGCAAGTTGGTAGGACATGTCTTGCTTCAGAATCCTATTCAAGGATTTACTAGAGCTTCTACCCTTGGCAGTGGCACCCAAAGTCACCATGGAGTCTTGGAAAGTGACGAGCCGGCAATCCCTCGGAGACATGCGCATTAAGGTTTTGTGAGCGTGGCACTCCAGAATGTTTATGTGATTAGGCTTACGAAAACGATAGGCCCTAACCACCTTCCACGGAAGTGCCTCAGCAAGGTGCGTGGACCACAGGTGACTAACAAACCGTTGGGCACCCCGGTGGTCCCGAAGCTCCGCTTCTGGGGCACCCTCGCCGCTCACATCCCTCAACTTCTCATGTCCCGCTGACGCAGTGGTCTGTGCTTTGCAAAACGTCTGGAAACACTGAACTACGGCATCGCACAGACCCTCAGGGTAGCGAGCAGCTTTAGACGTACGCGACCCTTCTAATCGGACATGAGGCTCGCAACATCGACATTTTTTGGCCACCCGCTTGAACACCTGCTTCGAGGCCAGCAGGGCCGTGGGTTTTTGGTACGGGGTGCCATATCGGCATTGATCCAACCGGAACTCGAACGCCTGAGAAGTTGCATGCTTCCACCACGGCAACTTGCGAGAGTACGCTCCCCACGGGGTTTCCACAACAGCTAGTGCTCCCACATGCAGCTGGGCTAGGAAGAGTGCAAGAGCCTGGTGCATATGAAGGTTACCTACGAGCGTGGCATACTCTAGCTGATTCATGCCTTGTGGTTCAGCAAGGGATCTCAGACGTGGACAACGCAAAAGACGTGCAGGGCGGGCCCAACCACAAAAACCCGATCCTACCGGCTTGACAGAGGCCCAGTATAAAGCAGAAAAGCTTTCTAGACGATAGATCCCAGCCTAGCTTTAGCTCTAAAGGCGGCCCTACCCTGAACCCCTTTTCCTTGAAAGCTGCGCTGAGAACAGCACTACCAGCGTAGGCTTCTACGAAGTCAAAATGAACCGCTAACATGCGAGGTACTGTAGGGGGAGTAGAGGCTGACGCAAAGTCGCGCATCACATGGTCCAAACATGAAGGCATGCTTTCGGGCATCTGACAAGGCCTAAGCAACTCAAAAGGAAACGCTGGTTGCTCTCTTAACTCCGCAGGCGGTTCCTCGGGAGCGTCACCGGTCGGTTGTATCAAAAACTCCGGCTCTGAAGTCTCCAAACCCTGCTCATGAAGATAAGCCCCAACTGATGACAACAACCGCGTGTGAAACCCTCGAGCATGCGCCCTACGAAAAAGTTCTCTGGCAGCGGTGCTGCCAATGCGGCACGCAACTATACCTGCTCCCTCAGGCGAGGCGTCTGTGGCAAACACCGTGGGGTGCACCTGGGTTTTAAGGTCCGTGAAAGCCAGAAGCCCCAGGGATGCCGCAAGTTGCAACTCCTGACGCGCGGCGACTGGCATGCGGAAAGGCTCATCGGGAGTCCCTTTAGGATGCCCTACATTGTACACCTCTTCGAACAGCGAGAACAAAGGACGCCTAAACTGAAAAGCAAAAGCCCACAGTCCTAGGAGTTTCTGAAGCAACCTCTCCGTGATGGCCTTCCAAAGCCGCAAGCCGAGTTCGATCAATGGCGAGTAGGGCTCGATCCCCCTCGAATTGAGCTCCCCAGGCCTTGAACACCGAGGCTCTCCTCACTTTTTTCTTTGGATGAATCTGGAGGCCGGTAGCTTCGTAAGCCCTCTCAGCAGCAGCTGAAGCCTCGAGATCACGGCCCACAGAGCTGGATGCACAAGGTTGCTCCTCCCTTTTCGGCAAACAGGGCCCGAAGAGTGGGGGCAGGTTGCTTACGCTCGGCAACTGGGGCCCAGAAGGTGGAGGTGGTTTGCCCACTGGGCATGCATGATCAAAGATCTGAATGCCTACCCGGTCGTCAATACACACTCCACTGTAGTGCCCTTGCGGTGCACGGGGGAGCATTCGCCCGAGCTGCAGATGTTCATCAGGTCGTAACGCATCAAAGGCTCTAAGGACACCCTCATGGCTAGTCTGAGCTAACGCGGGAGCCCAACTATCCCCCATAGAAAAACCTGCGAAGCATGCTCGAAGCTTCATCCCAGGATGTATGCGGATGGTGGGATGCCTACGCTGGAGTTCTCTAAGGGCCTCCGACCCCTGAAAATCCCGAGCGCGCCAGAGCGGGCCCACGGCTGCACTCAAAGCTCTTTCCAAGGGCACCGAAAACTCATGATAAAAATTCCGAAGATCATCCATGCACCCTCTAAGGCAACCCTCAACCGGAACCACCAAACCCAGAAAAGAGCTCGGGTGGCCCATCTTGGGAGCATCAGCCGGTGGCCCCCGCTCGGCTGCGTTGCGCGGCCGACGGTCTATGATCTGGCGAAGTTCCCCGTCAGGCTTTTGAAGGCAAAACAAATTGCACACGTGACGCGGATCACATTCCTCCTCCAACGCCAAACACAGCCGTCCTTCTTTATCCCACCTCCACATCAGATGCCACAACTCCGTGTGGCTCGAGGTTATAGGCATTGGCTCTGACCCCGCTCCCTGCTCCATAAGCAATGAGTTGGGACATTCAAAGGCTTGGCGAAAGGCAGTGTTAAGGTACGGGCCGGGATCAAAGCCACGCAGTTTGTCAGGAAATGCCACTTGAGAAGCTATCGCGGGGACAACTTGCGAAGATGCGGCACTGCCCTGAACAGGTCCATTCACCCTAGCACCACCATACACCAACTCCGCCAACGATTCAACCTCACACTCTAAACCACTCAACTCCTCATTAACACCCTGAATTTTAGTGCCGCACTCGACCGAAATGTCCCCGATCAAGCGGCACATCGAGCACATCCTTTCCCGTGTGCCTGCAATCATGACTGCCTGCTCCTCGGAAAGGGGCCCGCGCAAACCTTCTGATGGACAACGCGAGGGACCCCCTAAGGCACAAAAATTAATGGAGCAGACCGCAAGGTTCACTAAGACGTCCACGGCTCGGCGCTCAACCCATCTACGATGGCGTCGCCTAGAGCTACCAGGCTTGAACCAACTTTGTTCATTCCAGGCATACGGCAAGGGACAAGGCAAAAGCTCTCCGGATTGCGAGGCCGACTGGCAACACCGGCGGGAAGAACTACGCAAAAGGGCAGAAAAACGGCTGCGCCCGGCACACAAAAGTCTATACAAATGTGCCGGCATGTGCCACCAAGCAGGGAGCGACTTTGCATCCTGCTGCTCGTTCATTGCTGTGGCGCGTCCGCTGTGGATCCGCGGCCACGGCCCCTTCCTCGAGGCGGACGGTCGCCTGGGCGACCTCCGTCTGGTCTGCGTCGTCGCTTCACCAAGACCTCTTCGTCTTTGAGTCGTGCGATCACCGCAGCGGCCCACGTAGGATGCACCAACCTGCTGTGCGCATGATCGACGCGCAGCTGGCTCATGTAAGGTTCTCGGGATCTCCACTCGGAAAATGGAGGTTGGCTCAACTGCGTAAGGCGCCAAGCCGTTGTCCAGTTGCCGTCCAGGCGATATTGTTCGACGGCGGCCAACCCCAACGTGAGCACCAGCCTCCCCTTTTCCCATTGGCCAGCCTTCATGCGCGTCACCGCGCGCACCATAATCCAAGCTGCGAAGCCCAGGCTGCGTTCGTTGCCCATCGGGAGCTCCTCGCGCACGTAGCGCTCCAGGGTCATCGGATTGGGAGTCGCCTCGCCCAGCACTTGTGCAGCTAAGTTCTCGATGGCATTCGCGTACGCAGCAGGGTCGGCTTCCATTGCCACACGCAATCTCTCCACCAACATGGTTCCCTTTGCGCCCGACAACCTCCTGAGTGGATCCTCCTCCTCGGATTCGGAAGACTGGGCCAGGGGCAATCCTAGCCTCGCGCTCTTCTTCTTGCCCTTGGTCTCCTTGCTCAACAGATTCACCAAGGCCAGCCGCATGAGCTCGTCGGTGCCCATTTCGCCGGTGTCCTCCTCGGCATCCTCGATGTCGGCACCTGCTCCGGGCGGGGCCGGCTCCACTTGCGGTTCGGGGGGCCGGGCCCACCAATGCTTTGGCTCGTGCCAAGGCTGGTCCAGTAGCCTTCGGCAACTGCTGCGAGGAAGATGCGGCCTGCTTGACATTCTCCAGGTCGTCTTTGATTCCCGCAACTGCTGCCGCTGTCTGCTCCATCCTGTCTAGCAGTTGAGACACCAGATCGGCCGAAAGACCTGCCTCCTGAGGGCGCGGCCCATGTACAGGATCCAGTTGAGGCGGAGCCTCCAGCACCGTCAAATAGGCCTCGGAAACGGACATCTCCCCATCTTCGACCCAATTGCGAGCTGTCTCGGTGAGGCTGTTCATGTCCAGCGTGAGGTCGGTGCTCTCCCCATGCCGTGGTCTCACCAGGTTGGGTGGCCAAGAGTCGCCGGTGACGACCCGCAAAAACTTGTACAATGCTGCCGGCCAGTCGAACAGCAACAAAGGAGTCTCGGCCATAGAGCCGTCGGCCAACGTTCCCTGCACTTCCACCTGGCCCACCAACCCCAGGTCCTCTGTCACACCCTCCAGCTTCTTGGCCTCGATCTCGACCGCAGTGAAAGCGTGCCCTGCCGCCGCCAGTAGCAAGCCACCCGGGCGGCGAAGTACCGGGAGTACTGCCACGTTCCGAGCCTCCATGCGAAGTACCATCCATTCTGCCTCGGGCTCCTCAGCCAGAACAGCAGCCTTGCGAACACCCAGCACACGCATGGGCATCTCACTTGCGCTCGGGCAGGCCGTCCAAGCCCCACCCAAGGCACGACGCTTTGTTTTGCAGCCCTGTAGTAGGATGCCTCTGTGGCTCCTGCCCTTCCACAGGCAAGGCGCGGCTACGGGCCCCCACTTCAAAAGCGCTCTGCACTCGGACTTCAACTGAAAGGCCGCTCCGCGAAGACAACCTAGAGGTCAAGCGAACCCACTCTGTAGCACCGTCGGCAGGCAAAGCAGGTCCGGGATGAGCTAAGTCCACCGCAATGTTTACAAGCACCTTGTCTTAGTTCCGGCAGCCTTTGGGCCCATGCACCGCTAATGACGGCGATAAGCGGCTATCCTCTCCTCTGGGGTGAGCACTTGTGGCGTGACTAGGCACTCCCGAAGCAACACCCAGCACACCTGCCGACACCTCGTGGAAAGGATAAAGACCGCTAAGGCACCCCCAGTAAGGAAGCTGAGGAACCAGCACCCCAAACACAGAAGGGCAGTCTCCGCGAAAGTGGTTCTGGGGCAGATTTGGGTCAAGGTGACGAGGTTGCTTAAGAGTGCCTGCCACCACATCCCCTCGAGGACAAAAAGGCTGCCACGTTGGACTCCATTAAAGCATGCAGACATGTATGGAAGCATGCGTAAATAGATAAACGGCTACATCTATATCTACATACATATGCATACATATGTATGTACGTATGTACGTATCTAAAAATAAGCGTATGTAGATGTGTATGTGTGTTTATGTGCATGTACATGCGCATATGTTTGTATGTAGATGTTTCTATACACATCTACACATATACATATATATCTATATGTATGCATGGACAGAACGAGTTCTGCATCCTGGCAGGAGCTGGCAACTCTGCAGAAGCTGTGGCCGTTACTGATACATATCTACACACACGGACAGTTGTCAAATTATAGTCCCTCTGGTGAAGCCAAAAGCACTCTATTCTTTGTGCGGCACCCTATAGTTTGGGACTGAACAGGGACCCTACGAGTAGTTTTGACAACCCCCCGTGTATGTATGTATGTATGTATGTGTGTATGTATGTATGTATGTATGTATGTATGTATGTATGTATGCATGTATGTATGTATGTATGTATACTAATACATACATATATATATATATATGTATATATATCCGTTCACTTCACTTCACTGCGGGGTTCAGGGGGCGTGTTAGACCCCCCGCGCCGAGAGGCGCGCCCCTGTTCAGAGGCTTTAAGGGGCTAGCAGCTACAAGCTCGTCATCGGACAACAGCAAATGAATCCCCTACAAACATAAAATGAACAATCATCGGAAGTACGGGGTCCCCCTTATCTTGTTCAAGCAGCAAGTACTTGTGTTGCCGACTGCACTGTGTCGGGCTCAGTTCCCCCGTCATGGCCGCTGTAGGGGGGCTTTTTCAAGAGGACAAAGGTAGCAACACATGCACAAGCAATGCCAATAAAACCAGAGAGTTGCATCTCCCCGTATGGCGGCTCCAACACAGCACTGGCATATATCCCTCTCTCTCTTTATCTATATATATATATACACACACACACACACATGTTGAACTTTGACTTGGTCTTTGATTTGCTTGGGGCTGAGTCGCCAGCAGTCCGCGCACAAGGCGCTTCCCCATCCACCATATGGTTTGGAGGGGCTCGGCTGTACGAAGAGGGTGCCCCTATGAACAGTAGCCCAAGTGGGGCAGTTGGCTTGCTCGAAACTGTGAGGCTTGGTCTCTCTCTTTGTTTTGCTTGGCTTAGGGGTCTCTCTCTCTCTCTCTCTCTCCCCTTCTTCCACAGGGGCAAAGGAGCGTGTTAGGCCCCCTGGCCGCATGGGCCCCCCAGTGTTTGTTGGCACACGGACCAGGTCTCTCTCTCTCTCTCTCTCTTCCTTCCTTGTACACAGTCAAGAGAAGCGCACAGCACCCCTCCCTGCGCGCAGGCGCACACTGGTTGTTCGGTCTCCGCTTTCATTTCGCTGTTCTGTTCTGTTCTGTTCTCCGGGGCGTAGGGTGCGAGTCAGGCACCCCGCGCCGTGAGGCGCACCCCTGTTTCGGGGCTTTGTAGGGGTAGAAGAAAGTATGGATCTCTCTCTCTCTCTCTCGGGCATGAGGGTCGGTCAAGACCCGCGGGCATCAAGCCCATCCGAACGTTGCGGGTGCGAAAGGGTGTGAAAAACGAGTGTAGTTCAACATGGCACAAAGTTCGTAACTTTTAGGTAAGGGCAGTATGTTGATCGTACACTCTCGTTGACAATGAAGTTGGAAAGTATGCCATTCATCTCTCTCTCTCTTTCTTTCGCCAGGGCCATG